TTCATCAAACAGTTGTCATCGTCATAAAAATGTCATCCTTCTACATAGTCAATCATCACCTCCTCACCAGGGCCCAGCATAGCGCACATTTCAAAGAGGACCCTAAATTTCAAAGCAACCCAAAAGTCATGGATACTACTCTTTTTCTTCCCCACCAGAAAAAAAAATACACTGGGACTGTTTCCACTTTAGGCTTTTTTCAGCTATGCTTTAATGTTATTGAAACATATCAAAACATCATCAAAACAAAGATGTAAGAATTTTCTTAAAAGGCTTCCAAGATGGAATTTTCTATTTAAAAAATCGTATTTAGATTTATATACGCAGTTCTAGTTTTTAAAATATTAATTTATTGTACGCCTCAAACTAATGTAATGTTATGTATTGGTTATATCTCAATTAAAAAAATGAGCGAGCCAAAAAAATATAATTTGACCATTTCATTCACCAAATATTTACTGAGTGCTTATTCTAAGAGCTGGAAATAGATTGGTAAACAAATCAGCCAGTATCTGTGCTCTTGTGGGACTTTTTAGTGAGACAGAGATAGACAAGCAAAAAAAAAACAAATATATATCTCAGGTGGTGTCAAATGCTATGCAGAAAAAAAAACAAGGTAAAAGGACAGACAGTACAGGAAGGGGTACTATTTTATCTCTGGTAGTTAGAGGTCTATCCGATAAAGTGACATCTGAACAGCAACATGAAGAAAAATGAGGTGAGGCAAGCAAATATGGGGGTGGTGGGAGCAGTAAGCACAAAAACCCAGGTAGGAGCTTCCTTGGGAGGTTTGAGTAAAGCTGGTAGTTAGACCAGGACGGGGGTGGGTGGGGAGGGTAGTGGACTAGCGTGCTGAGAATGGCAGGAAATGAGTTCAGGATGGCAGCCAACACCCAGATTGATTGAGAGCCTATCAAGTAGCAATAGTGAGGATTTGGGTTACGTTCAGATTGAAATGGTAGCAGAAGAGTGACATGATCTGACTTATGTTTCAAAAAGATCCTTCCATTTTTAATTTTTTGAGGAACCTCCATATTGTTTTCCATAGTGGCTGTACCAGTTTGCAGTCTCACCAGGAGTGCATGAGGGTTTCTTTTCTTCCACATCCTTGCCAACACTGGTTGTTTGTTGACTTTTTGATAATAGCCATTCTGACACATGTGAGGTGATATCTCATTGTGGTTTCAATTTGCATTTCCCTGATGATTAGTAATGTTGACCATTTTTTCATGTGTCTGTTGGCCATCTCTATGTCTTTTTTAGAAAAATGCCTATTCAGGTCCTCTGCCCATATTTTAATCAGATTTTTTTTTGGATGTTGAGTTGTATGAGTTCTTTATATACTTTGAATATTAATCCCTTTTCAAATGTGTCATTAGCAAATATTTTCTCCCATTTAGTGGATTCCCTTTTTGTTTTGTTGACGGTTTCCTTTGCTGTGCAAAAGCTTTTTAATTTATGTGGTCCCATTTGTTTCTTTTTGCTTTTGTTGCCCTTGCCTCGGGAGGCATATCCAAAAAGATACTGCTAAGAGTCACGTCAAAGAGTTTATTGCCTATGTTTTCTTGTAGGAGTTTTATGGTTTCTTACATTTAAGTCTTTGCTCCATTTTGAGTTCATTGTTTTGTATAGTGTAAGAGATACAGATTTCCAGCTATAAAATTAACAAGTCACAGGGATGGGAATACAGTTAATAACATCGTAATAACCTCGTATGATGACAGATGGCTACTAGACTTAGCGTGGTGATCACTTTGTTAGGTATATAAATGTTGAATGACTACGTTGTACAACCGAAACTAATGTAATATTAACTATATCTTAATTAAAAATAATTAAAAATTAAATTAAAGATCCTTTTGAATGCCAGGAGAAGAGACTGAGGCAGAGGGTTGGCAGCATGGGTGGCAAGAGCAGAAACAGGGAAGTTGGTCAGGAAGCTACCGTGATGATCTGAGGGGACAGAGAGCGGCAGCTGAAATCAGTCGTGAGGGCAGAGCCAGGCACAAGCCGTCCGATTCTGGGTGTCTTTTTCCTGATAGAGCTGACAAGGTTTGCTAATGGGTTGGATGTGGGATGTACGTGAAAGACAACAGTGGAGGGTGACTCTAAAGGGTTTGCCTTCAGACCCTGGGAAGTTGCAAGCTGGGAAGCATGAAAAAGTAGCAGAGTTGGGGTGCGAGGAGGTGGGGAGTGGGGAGATGCTTTGGGGCATATTAAGTTTGATACGTCACTAATCATTTGAATACAAACATAAGGTGCCAATTGGTAGAACGTGCTTTGCTTTACTTAAAATAAATGTAAATTAGGAGTATACTCCCTTGTATCCTAAAATCTTTCAAGTAAACACAAGTGTCTTGTGGGTATACCGCCACTTATGTTTGTTATAAAACTTATTGGTACTTCTTTGCTTTTGCAATAGAGGTCACTTCATACCTCCTATACCTCAATTTCCAAAATAGGAAATGTCACTGAAGACACAGCATCTTGGCTTTGTGACCAAAAAAAAAAAGAATGACAGAAGTTTATAAATGCCTCCAAAGAGTCAGCTTTTCTTACAAGGCATTATTTGAGTTCCTGGAACTTCTTCTTTCCTGCCAAAAACCTCCCCTCTGCCACTTTCCATGAAGTCTGAAATTCCTCTATTTTAAAAGATATAATTACTACCTCTTAACTATGTGTTATTCTTACTCAAATTCTAGTAGAAATGCAAATATATTTATCTATATCTTCCATCAGTGGAGACATGTTCTCATTCATTGGGTATAGTAGAGGATACCCTTGCTAGAAATAATTAGAAAAAAGGCATGACGGCTTGAGAAGAGAACAAGATAAACCAAAAGCACTGGGTTTTTATAACACAGCTTTGGAGCCGAGGATGGAACTGGAGACAAGTGAGCATGGACTTGGTCTGCTGGATCAGCGGGAGCTGAGATACTGCAGGACGGGGCTCTGCGTTCTTCTCTACATAGATTCAGCTAAGACCTTAACACTGACAAGGACAATGACCTTCCACGCTCATCTCCAGTGCAGGCTTCTCCTCTAACTCTGGCTGTCGATGCCTCCATTGGAATGTCCCATTGACACATCATTTCAGTGCTCTGTTCTCTCTACCAGAAACATTTTTCTCCCAAAGCCCCCTTGGCCTAGTTAACTTCCGGTCAGCACTCATCTCTCAGCTCAAACCATCTTCCCTGGGGAAGGCTTCCCTGACATCAAAGCCAGAGGAAATTCCCCTGTAATACATCTTGTAACCCACCACCTCCCCGCACCCTCCTCTCATACTGCTTACTCTCCTCATAGTTATATGTAATACTTGGGTAATTATCTGCTTAATGTCAGGGTCTCACACCAGGCTCCGAGCCCCTCAGAGCAAATGCATGTCTCTTCTGCTCACTGCTGTATGCCTTGCCGGATCCAAGCCCTTGGCTGGTGTAAGACAGCACTCGATAAATAGTTGGTGAGTAAATGATGGTGAATAAAAGAGCGAATGCTGCACCTTTTTATAGACAGTCTTGTATAGATAGTGAAAAGGGCACTGCGGAAGCAAAGAGTCTATGGGATGTCACATTTGGGAGAGACACCGACTCCAGTATGCTGACCTGAGTTAAAGTTAAATCAGGTCGATCAAAATTTGTTCTTGTATTTGCCTTGGGTTTTATTTATCTCATCATTCTGTACCTCTAGAACCACAGACACACTGAGGGGAGAAATCCATAGCCCCAAATTAAAAAAACAAAAAACCCTCAAAAAGTTACTGATCCCTTTGTTAGAGAACCAGACCCAGACAGGGGAGCTCACTCCCGTCTACCTTATCTACGATACGACAAAACTAGTTTATAAATATGTCACTAGAATCACAGAGAAATGAGATCTGGAAACACTTTCTACCAAGGTGAAATCTAAAAGAAAAAAAGAAAAGGTCAAACTCATAGACGCAGGGTATAAAAAAGTGGTTGCTAGGGCCGGAGGATGGGGAAAATAGAGAGATCGGTAAAACGGTGTGATAAATTCAGCTATCACAATGAATGAGGTCTGAGACTCTCATGTAAATTATGGTGGCTATAGTTGATAACACTGTATTGTATAACTGAAGTTTTCGGAGAGTAGAATGTACATGTTCTCACTAAAAATAAGAATAATAAATAAATCTTCAATAATAGCTTTATCAGCAGGATTAGTTTACCATCTAAAACAATTTCAACTAAAAGTTCTAGATCTGACCCAACAACTTAGATGCAGAAAACAGAAGGTAGAGGGAAAGGGTGGATATGTAAAATATAGAAAAGTTTATTTGGGAGAATGGGGTGAAGGGTTAAGGAAGTACACATTAGTAGTTGATAGATGGTCATGGGGATGGGGAGCACAGGGAATGCAGTCGGCATTAATGTAATGGCTACGTGGAGGACCAGAAGAGAGAAAGAACAACCAGGGGGATCACTTTATAAACCATATAAATGTCTAACTAATGTACTGTATGCTTGAAACTAATAAAACGAAATTAAAAAAAAAAATAACATCCCAAGTATCATACCAATTTCTTTGTGGCAAGATCTAACTCTAACTGCAAATGTTCATAAATATTTAAACACACACATTTCATAGCAACCTCTTGGCCATGCAAATGTTTCTATACGAATGAATTTCATAATGGAATCAGATACAAACTCTGCAGAACTCAAGTTTCCACTCTGGCTGTGTATATCCATCACATACAACTCCTGTGAAACAGATTCGCGTAGTATATCCCAAGACTCTTTTGTCATTAAAGATCTATGTGCAGTGAAAATAGTGAAGATGGGAAAACCAAACATGCAAAAACGCAAATTAGTTAGTTTAAAAAAAAAAAAAAAAGATTCGACTTTCTAAACACGATTTAAAATTTTCAAATACACCCAGGCTAAATGTTTATGCAAAGGTGAAGGATGTGTTAAAAACACACGTGTGACACATTTTAAAAAATGAATGAATTTTCTTTGAGAGTGGTTCATGCTTGATACCTCCTTCATCAGATGGCCTTGTTGCCTCACTGCAGCATGAAAAACTAGGGTAAATCTCGGAGATTTCGGACTTGTCATCTCCCAGACCTGTCCCAAAAGTGCTGCTCGAATGAGATCGAGACCGCTGTCTCCTATAGTGACTCGCCTTTTCTATATTGGAGGGAAAACATTCATACTTGTGATTAAAGCGAATCGAAGAACAAAGAAAACAAAAAACTACTTAGAAGATTAACAAGAAAGAAAAACAATCCTTTATTAATAATCCAAAAGCTCAGCTATCGTAGGTTCTAATTACCTATTCCCAAACGTCAGGATACATTGCGTCAATTATGTAAATGACCTAACAATCATTTAGACTCATCTTTTTATCTATTAAAGGAGAGATGGGGTATGGGAAATTGACGAGAACTAAGAAAACATTAGCAAACTAATAAATTTCTATCAAGTGTAAAGTCTGGTGATAATTGTTTTCAAGTATCACCAGGCATATAATATTTGTTGCTTAGTCCTTATTTTTAGAAAATTAAATGACGATTTGGCTGATTATGTAGATAGAATTGCCTATAAAAGTATTAGAATTCCTATTTTGCCTTGGGCTTTCAATTTTATTAATGTCAACAATTAAATCTAGAATAAAAATCAAGGGACAGGGCAAGACCTAAATGACCTATAGCTCTTTATAATTGTTTAAAATAATTGCATAACTGTCAAAGCTTCGGTTTGCTAAACACGATCTGAAAGTCTGAAATGTCAAACTATGCTATCGCTATACCCAAATATCCAAGCAAAAGGTTTTTGCTTTTAATTATAAACACACAGTCTAAGTTAAAAGTCAAACTTCTGACATAAACTATAATTTCGCACTAAATAAAAACTCAGAAGTAAATTTTAAGGATACTTGAAAGTCTATTTTAAGATATTTATGATGCTACACAGAAAACTCCCCACTGTTTTATATATAATTCTTTAAATCTACCTTTAAAATGTCGTAACGGTGTTTTTCATGAAACCAATCTCCTTTATGTCTTAGCAGTTTAGTACAATCTAAATAACTGCATTTGAAAGCCAAGAAAACTTATTAAATCATATTCACTAATAAAAAGCAGATGTCAGTAAGCTCTAGATGCCTTTCTAAATGAATCTAGAACTAATTTGGATGTACTGAGAGTCCTTTTACAAGTTTCATTTTCATAAATGATTAAAAGTATTTTAAAGCAGCCTAGCACTTTTTGTGGTTTTTCGAATCCTCAACTTTAAAATTTACATGACACAGTTGGCACAATGAACCTCTACAGCTCCGTGTAGCTTCGCTTTCAGGACAAAAACCACATAAATGAGGAGGAACTCGAAATGCAAGCAGTACCAGAAAGCATATGCAGACTTCTAGACTGGATATTGTCTTCGAGGGGATCGATGTCGAAGATGGAGCCAGGATCTGTGCGCCAAACTTTGAGGTCTTTTACCAAAGGGAAGAAATCAACAAATCAAGAATGAATAAAAAAAAAAAAAAAAAAGAAAGAATTAAAAAAAAAAAAAAAAAAGTCAGCACCAAAAAAGTCAAGTGAAAGTCTGGAAAAGGATGGTTGTAAAGAGCAAACATGTGATAAGCAAACCCACGCTGCTGCAGATGTCAGAGGAGAACAAAGGGAATTCACACTCACCGGGATATACGAGA